GCCACCATGCCCGGCTAATTTTTTCTATATATATATTTTTAGTTGTCCAGATAATTTCTTTCTATTTTTAGTAAAGACGGGGTCTCGCTCTTGCTCAGGCTGGTCTTGAACTCCTAACCTTGAGCGATCCACCCTCCTCGGCCTCCCAGAGAGCTAGGATTACAGGCGTGAGCCACTGCGCCCGGCCTGGGATTTCAGTTTTATATGGATTGGATCCTCCAGGTGGAGGTTGCTGGTCTACAGGTGGGTAGGCATGTGTCTCAAGAGAAAGGTCTGGATGGGGTTACACTGATTTAGTGTGGCCAAATGAGAAGAAAACTGAGTATACTGCTCAGGGAAATTACAACAAGGGAAGGCGGGGGAAGAGGTGTTGGAAACTGAGATGGAGCCCAAGAGAAATGAGAGAAAATAAGGAGAGACTTGTGTTTTACAGTTAAAGAAAAGGAAACTTAAAAAATGGTTGTTATGTAAGATATATCAGGGAAATCAATTAATATTAGGTCACTATCTTAGACCTTTGTGCTGTTATAACAGAATACCACAAACTGGGTCATTCATAAAGAAAAGAAATTTTATTTTCTCACCATTCTGGAGGCTGGCTCCAAGATCAAGGTTCTGGCAGATTTGGTGTCTGATGAGGGCTGCTCTCTGCTTCCAAGATGGCTCCTTCTTACTGCATCCTCACATGGCTGAAGGAGACAAAAAGGGAAGAAGGCTGTGTCCTCACATGGCGGAGGAGATGGAAGACCCAGGTAGCTCTCTGAAGCCTCTTTTATAAGGGCATTAATCCTGTTCACAAAGGAGAGCCCTCATGACTTAATCACTTCCCAAAAGGCCCCATCTCCTATAGCACCACAATGGGGATTAAGTTTCAACATAAACTTTGGAGGGATATACACATTCAAACCATAGATGTCATAAAAGTCTAAATTGGATTTAGTGGTGATGGTCATATTTCCAGAGTAGAGTGTGAATGTATACATGTGGTGGTCAGGGGAGGAGGGTGAAGGGGTGGGATAGTGGGAACAGCAATTGGCAGCAGAAATGGGAATGAGGCAGTAGAGACAGTGATCTAGACTTAATCAGGGTGCTCTGTCATGATGGGAAGACATTGGTAGCTGGAGGAGAATCCATTAAGGTACTCTAGTAGAAAATCAGTCTAAAAATCAATAGGTTTTCTATTTATAAATAGTATCTATTTAGAAAATATAACAAAAGAAATTACTCTGTTTACAATGGCAGTATGAAAAATAAAATTACAGCCAACCTGAAAAATGTAGAGGACTCATATAAAGAGAGCTTTAAAAGTTCAGTGATACTAGTTGACATTTATGTAGTGTTTACTATGTTCCAGCTACAGGTCTAAGCACTTATGGATACTAACTGTAATCCTGACAGCATCCTCATGAGGAAGGTACTAATGTTAGCCCCATTTTACAGATGAGGAAATCATGACAAAGAGAGGTAAACTGATTTCCTAGTATCACACAGCACATAAGTAGCAGAAGACAGAATTAAACCAAGGCAGTCAGGCTCCAAACTCAGTTCTTAATACTACAGTATATACCCTCTCAAGATAAAGAGCACCCTAATAGATACAAAATGTACCCCTCGGCTTTTGAACTGTTTGTTTATTCATTCTCCAGATGTTTATTGAGCACCTACTATGTGTCAGACTCCCTTGCAGGTCCCAGGCTTGTGACGGTGAGCAAGACTGATGGAATCCATGCTCTTGGGAGGGAGACAGATAACAAATAAATGATGAAGAAACTATTCATAAGTAAAAACAAAACATCATAGTTGTGTTATACACAGAATTAAAATTAGTTGATGGGAAAGAATGTGTAGTAGCTACTTCAGATTGGGTGCTTAGGGAAGGTTCCCACTGAGGAGGTGACGTTTAAGCCAAGGTCTGAGTGAGAAGAGCAAGCCAGCCTGGGGGAGAGCAAGTAGAAGAGCAAGCAGGGTAGAAACAGCCAGGGCCAATGCCATGAAGCAAACGTTGGAGCCTCTGTAATGTGGCAGGAAGGCCTGCGTGGCTGGGGGTAGTCAGTGAGGGAGAGGCCAGATCAGGCTAGGAAGCCATTCGTGGGGTGCTGAGAAAGGCAACAATGTGACCTGCCTAGGCTTTTCAAAGACCCTGTGGCTGCTGAGTAGAGATCAGGCTGGAGCGAATGAGTAGACACAGGAAGAGGTAGGAGAGGCGAGTCCGCTGAGATGATTGCAGTGAGACAGGAAGTGGTGGGCATTCTGTTCAGGGCAGAGACACAGAGACACTGGACAGAGTGGAGAGATGTTTGAAGGTAGAGTCCTCTTTTCTAAGACCCAGCTTATTCTTTTCATCTTGCCAATTGTCATTTTTTAGAGGGTTTATTTTCTTTAAGTATTCCTGTTTTTTGTTTTTTTGTTTTTTGCCATTACAACCAAATGGTAATGCTCAGTGTCTGCTATGCGTGAGGTTCTGTGCTAAATCTTTTATTAGGTATTAACACCTTAAAACCTCACAGTAGCCCCCGGTGGTGACACTACTGTTCTCCTTTGATGAATGAGGATACTGAGACCCAGAGGGGAGTCAGAAACCTGGGTGGCACCCCTGGCCACTGCAGAGCCAGACTGGAACCAGGGGGTCTGGCCCTGCACCCAGCTCCCTGGCCAGTGTACTCTATTGCCTCTGCTCGTAGTGTGAGAATTTCTTGAGAGACAGACTCTAGGATTCTGGGCCCTAATAGTAATTACCGTTTACCCACAGAGGGTTCTGTCCTTGGCCCCAGGACCAGATGAAAGTGACAAAAGCAGGTGCAGTAAAACACCTCACTGTGCCCGAGGCAAAGTGGGTAGACCTTACCTCGTGTAAACAGAAAAGGCCCCGAGAGGTCAGCAGTTGTTGTCCAGGGAATAATCTGAATGTCCATTAACTGGTGAAAGTATAAACAAAGTGGAATACTACTCAGCAGTAAAAGGAACAAACTATTGATACATGCTGTTAACAGGAGTAACCCTCAGAAGCACTATGCTTAGTGGAAGAAGCCAGACACAGAAGACTAGATACCATATGATCCCACTTATATGGCAGACACATACATATACACATACAGGTGATTTCCCCTTCTGTTTTTACGCAAAAGCTAGCTTTCTGTATAGACTATTCCTAACCCTCCCATTGTATCACCAAGAGTATATATTGATCATTCAGTATCGGTACATAGGCATTGTTCTCTCTATCTCTCTATCTCTTTTGTTGGATGATCTTTCAGTGTGTGGATGGACAGTATTTATTCAACCATTTTTCTAGTCATAGATATTTGGGATATAAAAATGCCTCTGTGAACAGCTTTTTCATATGTCATTTCATTGATTGTTTCTCTTTCTCTCAAATTCTTTCTTTCTTATATTTAGGCTTTCTTCATTTTTCACTTGTGCTATCCTCTGGGTCC